TCAGAGATGGAGAAGATGTGTGGAGGGGCCTCCTGGCGCTTCTTGCCTCGGTAGGCCAACACCACCTCCGGGTTGTACACCGGCAGCCACTTGTAGGGGTTGACAGTGACGCAGAAGAGACCCGAGTAAGTCTGTAAGGAAGGGGGACAGGGTGCTGATTTTGGAGAGCTGAGGAGAGCTGCAGATAAGGCAGAGGTGAATGATGTTCGGGGGACACCAGGGTAGTGAGAGAAAATAAAGTGGAGGAACCTATCAGAGAATGGGTGAGATATAGCATACGACAAGGAAAGGTAAAAGCGGGAAGGAAGAAGGAGAAGATGTAGACAGCAAGAGGAAAACACATGTAAGAAAGAAAGAGGAAATAGAAAATGAGGAAAGAAGTCACGAGGCTCTTCAGAGAGCTTGAAAGGTGTCTTCAACTCCTCAAAAGCAGGAATCGTCTCCTTCTGCTGGTACTTACATAGATCATCCAGGCTGCATAACGCTCTTTGAGGTTGTACAGCACAGCGGGTTCATGGAGGTGTGTCATCATGGCCATGTCCTCGATTTTATCATACTTGGGAGGGTTCATGGAGAAGATTTGATCATCCTTCACGGTAAGAGTCTGCCAAAAAAAAAGAAAGATACATATTTGCCATCTAAATGTCCACAGCAGGATTAAGTTGTATTGTCAAGCCTTGAATTTTGTTTTTTACTCACTTCTCCACCTTCAGTCTTGACAGTGACCTTTCCTCCTTCTTTGCTCTGGATTGTGCTTTTCACATAGGATTCCTTTGCGTGTACCACAAAGACTGAAGTCTTGGCATCAAAAGGCTTGTTCTGGGCCTCAATTCTCTCCTTTTCTGACTTTCGGAGGTAGGGAGCTGCCTCCCCAAAGATGGCCATCTCAGAGTCTGATGACATCGCTGCAGTTTACTAGGGGTAATGCAGCAAGTATCTATGAGGGTAGAAAATACATTACAATAGCGCATGATGGAAGACACATTCCTACAGCATAGTCAATTAGATCGTTCTCTGCTGTATGTAGCAACTGATTGAATTGACTCTTCTGTTTTCCTGCTAATTCAGAGCTCTGTTCTATAATTTTTTTTCCTTTATTTCTGTTTTATGTAGTCATATCTCTAGGCCTACTGGATGACTGCATTTACAGAGGAACCATTTCTGTGTTGTGTTTTTTTTTTTTTTATTCATTTGTTGAATTAACAGGATAAACAGATCCTTTCCAAGGTTCCAATCACTGCACTTACTAGATATTCCCAATTTTGGAATTGTGAAAACCCTCTCATGTCTTTTTTGTTTAGCACCTTTCAGACTATAAGATTTGTTTACTATAAAAGAGTGGAAGAGGCACAGTACACTGGATACGCGGAGAACTAATAATATTAGCACCTCTCATTAAAGACATTCCTTTGGGATAAAATAGCTCAAGTTGTCAAATATTTCAATTATTCCACAGATCCATCTGCTAACAAACAAAGCTGATATTCTCCGCTTTGATCTTCATAACAGAAACCGAGTAATCTTGCATTCATTCACTACTATTTAAAAAAAAAATATCAGGAACCCTGCTTATTGTTGCCAAACAACTGTCTTGACTGAAAAATTTCATGTGATCGTGAAGCTGGAATGTAGGTATATTGTTCCAAAATGAATACTGTTCCAAATTTATCTTTTTTAGCCTAATTTTATTTATCTTTGTCACCTACAATTTGGATTTTGAGTAGCTTTTCTTTATTAATTAAGCAGCTCATTTCTCTATCAATACTTTTAGCTATGGCAGACATCTAGGTGAAAAATCAAATAATTGGTTAGCTTTTCCTTGAGAAATAGTTTCACTTTGATTGCAGGAAAGATATTCTGAACTTAGAATATTTTTTAAAACTCTTTTCTGAACCCTTTACCATTTAGCAACCTCGTTATTGCAGTATGGCCAGCCTAACAGAAATAATATTTTAATAATGATCACAGTATTTTTGTACATTATAAAAGCCATTCCACTCAGTATTCCACTGCTTACACGGGAAAAAAATTGCTTTGCCTTCTTAGCCAGCAAAGACAGACTTCATGACACAACTTAGTGTTGTCAATGCAAATGCAGGGATACAATCTCCTGACTGATGGTTTTCTTTCTAACTACATGATTTTCCACTTCATTAAAGTATTATTAATCAAATGAGACCATTTCACAAAATAATTATGTAAGGTTGTAAAATGGACCCAGTCTTTCACCAGCAGTTTTATCATTGCCTATAATATCTCACATTTTCTTACAAGATTCCTAACAGGAATAATACCAGCATATTATATATAGTAGTATATACTATGTAGGTATATATTATGTTAGTATATATTATAGTATATTAATGCATATTTTATATATTGCATGTATATTGTATAGTGTACTTTTGTGTAGATATTGTATGCTATTATTACAATGTATAGTATATATAGTAGGCTAGTATACATTATGTTAGCATATAATATATATATAAAATATGTCAGTAGATTGCCTTTTTAAAGTATTTGATGAGTATTTTCTTTTGACTGTGTCATACGATTTTTCCTGAAATCAATGATCTGCTAACTCTCCTCCACTTATTCAAAGCATGCTAGTTACATTCTTTACACATGATAGCTTGTTGACATATTTTATAATTTTGAGGGATATATTCCCGTGACAATATTTGACAAAATTAATATAAAGTAATGTCAGAAGTAAATATGAACAGTTAACTTTCCTGGGTGTAAATATTTAAAACTTTGAATGTAGTTGCTGTTCCATCTCTCTTTTTCTATTTATCCAAGTAGGTATTATCCTTTCTTCATTTCCCTGTGATTATTAATATTTGCTTATATAATTATATCACAATTGTGCAATATTTTCATAGGCATAAGCAAGCTTATAAGGAAGCTCAGACTGAAATGCTTCCTTTTAGCACTTTGATATTTTGATACACAACATTCTAACCCCATTTCCCAACCTTCCCTGTGAAAAAGAAAATATTAACATTATTGAAATACGTATATCTTTTCCTGTTTCTTCACAGCTAACACCAGTGACCCTTGATGTTTGAGGTAAATGCAAAAAGAAAAAAAAATTGTTTGCTTCAAGAATATCTTTAATTTATGGACAAGTAATTGGAAACCACTTCCTGATGGGCTTTTTCTTCTTAGGACAGTTTCTCCTAAGCTCAGAACCTAATGTCTGTTAATGTAGGAAACAGCTTTCTATAGAAGAATCCTGGGGAGAGTGTAGGCAATGCAGCAGTGATCAGTACTTTAAAGACCACTGTCTTTGAGAATCTCATGGCAAAGATATCAGCAATCCAGCCAAATTCTCATACTGTGTTTATACAGTGGACATAAGTATAAGGAATACAGGGATTGCAAGCACACCTGCATAGAAGTCCTACCTTAGAGCATCTCTATCCGTAACTAAAGAATGAATAAATCAAGATCTTACCTTTTGTGAGACAAGATGAATGGCTTGCAGACTGGAAGCTGGTCAGTACTGTAAAACAGAATTAGCAACTTCCTTGTTACTGCTGCACAGAAATCCAGAGAAAATTTATAGACAGAAAACATATGGATGCCTTGAAAGCAGACTGAAAATCCCAGCTGACACTGGCAGTCTCCCATTGAATGAATGTGAGCGTCTGTAGGAATGCACTGTTGCTTGTGGAATGCAGGGCCAGTTTCCCTTCATCCCCCACCTCCCCAGTCCAAAGCCTCTGACACTCTTACCTTAGAGATTTCTGAGGAAGGACAAGACACACTGATCCCAGGGTACTTTTATAGGGTCTGATCTGCATACGTAGCCACCACCTCCTCTTTCTTAGGTCAAAACATTTTTGGCAATCTTAACTCCTAGCAGAATTGCCATTCATATTAGAAATGAATGGATATAATTAGACATAACAGGTCTGTGAATCAATCTCCTATAAATAATTTGACAAGAAGGCCTGAGAAGGGGGGGAAGCAGGAGGGTGTGCTAAAGGAGATGAAAGGGGCTACATTGGTACTGTAATCCATCGGATGCTGACTCGAGTAGAGAAAGTGAAGAGTACAAGCCAGTGTATTGTAAAAGCAAACATGTAGGGATGGAGAGGTGAAGGCACAGGCTCCTGCACGCTGCAAATGCTCTGAGTCTGCAATGTGGAGAAGCATGAGGGGTCCTACTAAGATGCAGGATCATTGTTAGAGGAAGGAAATCCCAATGCAGAAGGAAGCATCTGAATAGGAACAGAAGTCACAGGAGTAAGAATCAACAAATGATATGAATGAAAATGGACCAAAGCCAGAGCAAGAGAAGGGGGGAAGGATGAGTCTGAAGGTAGTGATAGGGAAGGCTATGTGATTAAGGACGAGGAAGTAAATAGGGGTGTGATTCAAAGGGGATAACAGCAAGTCACCATGGACACAAGGACCAATAAAAGGGCAAAACCAGTTAAGTCTAGAGTTGAAGACAGAAGCCTCTAACACTGAAGTCACTAAGTTAGATCCCAGAGAAAAGGCACAGAAATCCAACTCTTGTTTCTGGGGCTGAAGGGTTTCAAAGATCATATGAACAGGACTATGGAACCTTTGTACTGAACTTAAGACATGTATCCCGCTGGAAGCAGGAGAAATAGGTGCTGTCTCAAAATAGGGGAGTCATTCAGCACTACTTTTGCAGGATAAGTGTGCTAGATGGAGGGAATGATTAATAAATCTACATTCCCTAGAAGAGAAAGTGTCATGTGCAATGCTAGTCTGGAAGAGAGGCAGTTATTGTTAGAAGAAGCTGAACCCCATGCTACTATGTGAAAAAAGCCAGTCTACTGTGATGATCCCTGGGATGTTCCCCACCTAGGTTAAGGACGGGGTTACACATGTTCTGCAACAGAACAAGGAGGGCAGTGGTGAAGAGGGCAGTGGAACCCTCCACTTTATTGAGAAATAATTCCATCTCCATGCAACAGATCTTGATATGGGTTTTTTTTTTTTCATCTGTTGGTCTTCACTTTCCAAATTACAGTTCGTATGACAAACAAGGCAATCTGAACTGAATCATATCTCAGCTGCTTCACCTGATCCCATAACGTACTGCCTCCCCACTTACAGCACCTGTTGTGCTCCACTCCCTCTTGGCATCACCTACTCAGAGGTCTGGATACAAAAGTGAGGAAATTCCTTCCTCCTCTTCTCTCAGCTGACTGTGTCTCTGTGATGGCACTGTAATCCTGGGGGTGGGGAGGAAATTGGCAGAGGTCGGCTTCACATTTGGAGTAAATTCACACTGAAGAATAAGACTGAGGCCTCTGGTTTAACCCTAATAGCTAGATCCTCACCTGGATATAAACCGGCACTTCTTTCATATCTTTAATGCAATTATGTTGTCTGAGAACTGAAATTTACTGTGAATTTCAGGTATTTCAATGACTCTCTATGTTGTCTTATTTTGCTGGTGCATGAAGTTTTGACCTGGATTAAAACTGACTACAAAAAAACCTCATGGTTTTCCCACATTCATATGTAATACTGGCATAAAGCTGACAGCTGGCTAAAAGCTTTTATTTGCAAGATTTTTTTCAAATAGAAAGAGAATAATCCATAACTTTCTGAAGGCTGAAAAGGACATATAAGAAATAATTTTTCAAAGCATTTTTCAAAATTACATTGAAATTGAAAATTTCCATAACCTGTAACATTTTGCTTGGTCTGTTTTCACTTATATTTTTCCTTTGCTCTTGTTTGCATTTATGTTGCTAGTCAATATAACAGAATACAATGTGACTATTGGTTTTCTATCTGTGTGTATTCTTGCTTTTATTTCTTTGTTTTTGTCATTTTAAGAGCAAAGTTTTCTTAATTTGGAAAAACTCTGTAGCTGTCAAAAAAAACCTGAAACTGTGACTTTCTGAATTGGAAAAACTTGGAAAAAATACAGACAAGTAAAAGCTGAAGGTCAAGAAAAAAATGTGTGTGTATGTGTGTCTGGGGGATTAAGCCTTATATATAATATATTTTGCTACCTTTGGTAATAAAAGAAAAAAAGTCAAAATAAAAAAAAATTAATTGTGGCAGCTCATAAAAATGCAATTTTTTCTTCCTCCAAAATGTCAGGAAATCTTGTGCTTTAATACAACAGTTTTGTTTCAATCAAGCAGAATGAAAACAGCCACAAGTTTTCACAGCCTTTCACAAAAGGCATTTTAGCATTGTTTTGCCAGATATAATATTCTCTCAGGGCCTCCCCTTCTCTATCAAATTCACTGCAACTCCCTCCCTACTACCTGCAGAGGCATAGCCCTCCTACTGTATACGTGCACTCCGCATTTGCTCAAGTCTTTCATCAACAACAACCCTTCACAGCAAACTACATGCAGACGTACTCTCATACCTGTGAGCTAGTGTCTGAGATCCCATTATCACTGATGGAGCGTGAGCTAATGGAGTCTGGAGAATGATTCAGTTGTCCTAATATGGTTGCCTACCTTAGAGTGAACCGAAATGTTTGCTTGAGCCTAACAGTAGTGTCTACAATCGGAGTTTAGACATTCAGCTCGCTCACCTACATATTCATTTAGGCAGATGATGACTAAATGTAGATATTTGAGTTTGGAATTGAATCTCACCCGTGCATGTAACAAACCCAAACCTAGTACTGCACATCTATCCATCACTGAAATTCCTCTCTCCTTGTGGCCAATTCCTGCCCATTTTGCCCGTTTATTCATTCTGAGGGTGTCCACATTTGCAACAGTTACTGAAGATAAAATTACTGCACTGCTGCTTGAGAAAGGGGAAGCAGCAGTTGTCTGAGCACAGAGGAACCTATAAATCCTTCTAGAGAGGCTGCAGTGAAATGGGAGCTCTGAGCAGCCGCTTCAGCCAGCTCTCAGGCCTGTTGAAAGGCGGTGGCTTCTTCGAGATAAAAATGTTTGAAGGCACTTATAATGGACAACTTTTACTTGTCGAGTATAATGGCAAAAACTATGCCAATAAAAATTTCTCCTTTGTATTATAACTAGTTCATGCTTTACCTTTATACCATGTTCAGTTTGGGCTAACAATGCAGCTTCCCAAGAAGTCAACAATGATGAACTGTAATCCCTGATAAACGTCAGCCAGAGAGCAATTGCCACTGATCGCTGTTGAATGGTCACTAAACAAACTACTACAAAGTGAAAGGGCATAAAGACTAGCTTATATATGATACATTCCAGAAAAAAGAATATATGCATATAGAGGACAAAATAAATTATTTCCCATTTTAGGCATACTCCAGAAGTTGCCTGGGTGTCTATTGATGTCACTGATACTTTCCTATCTACCACCACCAGTACTACATAGGCAATGTCATTTCTGACTGGTAGCAGAAAGGACTAAATAAGTGTCATGCCACATTATTTTTCTTCATCCCCTACCTCTGACAGGCTCACCCCACGCTATCCTCTCTCATCCTGCTGCCCCGATGCAGAGGTTGCAGCCAACCTGGACAGGGACCATGTCTAAGCAGAAGACCCCAGAAGCAGGGGCTGCAGTGTGAATGGTCTGTGGGGCTCCAGCAGTATGACCAGCATCCATGCTGCCTTGCAGCACTGCCACAAGCACAGGCCTGACATTGGCAGGGTCCTGAGCTGGCCAGTGGGGCCCTCAACCTGCCTGGGCCCGTGGCAGACTGTGCCATAGACAAGGAGACCAGGCCAGAGCTCAGGCGGGTGCTGGGTGTGAAGCACCAGGGGCAGAACACAGGGTGATCGAGGCTGAAAAAATAGTGAAAAGAGAGAGAGAACTATTGAAATTCTTAGAGAGCTGAACAGACCACCAAAAGGGGTTTTAAAACCAGCTCGTAACTGGCATTCAGTGGCCTACCTCCCTGCACACTTCCCCTGGCAGGGCCCCTGTCCTCAAGAGCCAATCAGGGTGGTGGCCATTGGCCCGCAGGAGAGGGTGGTGTGAGGCTCTGACAGAGGTTTCCTGTCTCTCCTGCTGCACCTGACCACCAGCTGCCTGCCTTGCACTGCTCTCCTCCCATGCCCTGCTTTTGTGGTAGAGGACGCAGGAGAGCAGCTACAGTGGGAAATAAAAACAATCTCTCTCTCCTGGTGCATGGTCAAGTGAGTAAGTGCATTAGCAGAACAGCATGTTCACCTCCTGCCACCCTTTCTCAAATGTGGCTTGAACCAAAACCTATGATCTATTAATGGAGGTCTCTGATGAACCCTTAGAATAGCAGGGCATATGTTAGTACACTTACAAATCCTGCAGTGGGCGATGCTTCTCATTGCAGTTGGGTTGTGTTTAGCATTACCATTCACAGGGAAAAGAGGTGCTACTCATACAAAGGGTGTCACAATAACCTGAAGGGTTCAAGGGGGCCCTAAAAGCACCAGAGATGCTCAGCTATGGTGGATCCTGAACTACCATTTCTAAAATGGATGGAGTAGTGTCCATTCCTAACTCCAGCTGTCTTCTGCTGCCCAAATGTTATTTACACG